TTAATTATGTCGAGTCGAGAGTCATCAAATTTGGGACTCGAGTCCACACCCCTGCTTAAAGGTAAAATAAAGTCATATGGGCTTGAAACAATATAAAGGTAAATAAATGATGACACAATTTTCATTTTTGGGTGTATGTCTTTAATATAGGCTAATGTAATGTTTGATATGTTCATAGGATGTCAATGGTGCAGATGTGATGCTCGGCGTTTGCTCTGAAGGACTAATGGTATATGAGGATGAGATTAAAACAAACATTTTCCTCTGGCCCAGAGTTCTTAAAATCTCCCACAAACGCAGCACCTTTCTTCTGAAGATGCGCCCTTCTGAGGTGTTCATGCACATTCATTTTATTCTCCATAACCCACTTCTTTATTTTCTACATTAGTGTTGGATTATGCACTCATTTGGTGTAGTGACAAACTCAGTTTTGTCGAGTTTATATGGGTTACATTTTTCCACGTGACCTGATTTAGGAGGATGAGTTTGAGGGTGCCATCAGCTTCAGTTTGGCCAGCTACCGAGCCTGCAAGCAACTGTGGAAATGCTGTGTGGAACATCATAGTTTCTTCAGGTACGTCCATGTGTATGTATTACAAAACCAAGGCTCAACAAGGTGCAGCATTTTTTCTATCCATATGACCATTAGAAACACAAGGGGGCGCTCCAGTGAAATATATGCAAATACAGTATTCGAAAGAATTACACATAGTAAAAACATGCTCAGAAACATGACTTAAGACCATACCTCTGAATGTGTTTCTCAGAAATAGACTTCAAGATACAAAAACAAAAAGGCTCCTGACCTTGGGTTCAAGGTTCCGTTTCCATGGACGCACTCAGTCTGAGTGTCTGGAAGCCTGCGGCAACATCACCCGGGCTCCTCCACGATTCACACGTTTTATCATCAAGAGAAAAGGCATCTATCTATCTATCTGATCAACTAATTAAATGCAAGTAGTTTTAGTTGGACAAAGGTAAATGGTATATATATTTTCAGGAAATGAAGAAATTCTTGATGTTTTAAAACAACCAGTTCAAACAGAGTTGGATGACTGGTTCCTGGTCTATGGTCCAGATAAATGGCGCATTTCTACATCAGGTGAGGCATATTAAAATAATTAAAATA